ACGGCCAAGGCGATGTTTGGCCAGAATGCGGAGGCGCTGGCCTAGTCCCTTGAAGAGCGACGTGCTCTCGAGGGGGAAGTTGACCAGATTCACAATGTTGCCCAGCTCGTCGTCTTGAAGGTCTTCGGGTCGGCGCCAACTACCAATGCACCCGCCATCCAACTGGCGGAGGTTCCAGATGAGGTCCGAGCCCTCATCACACACGAGCTATTCTACGGAGCGTCGGGGGTGTTGACTTCGGTGGTGACGTACCACCCGAACCTGGACTTCGCCACTATCTACAGCGGGTATGCCGATGGCTTGAGCACGGAGGACATCCAATCGCTCGGGGAGAGCTTGCTACCGCACGCAAGGTTGGTGGCAGATCAAGTCTCTATGCAGTGGGTGATGGATGCCCGCTGTGAGGACATGGCCAGAAGCGTACATCAGGGGGACGTCGCCCAGCCTATGGATGGCGCAGAGCCTAGGTCGGAAGTGGACATCACCCCGCCTTTAACCGAGCCGAATATCATCCAGCCGGGGAGTGAGCAGCCCATGCCTTCGTCGGTCGCACCGACAGCAGATGCCGCCGGGCAGCCCCAATAGCTTGTAAAGTATAAGTAGTTTAGCAGATGCAAAAAGTTTAAATTCATGGGGGAGCTCCCGTGTAAACATTCTTGTGTACTCAATTACTACAATCGGTTTCATTTTTTGTGATGGAGTCACTCCGTTCGGGGAAGCTTGTCCCTTTCGTTCCTTAGTTTTACCTTAGCATAATTTTGTTTTTTATTCTTTCTTTTTCGTACTTGCCCGTTCGTCCCATAGGCTGCAACCTTAGGAGCCCGGGCGTGGCCCGCGAGGCTCAGCTGCTTGTAACCGTAGGTAGAGATGGGGTGCGATCGGTCAGAATATTTTAAAGCAAAGCTATGAAAGGCAATTTAAAGGAATGAACTACCCTTTTGTTCGGGTAGGAAGGAGTTTTACCATATGTCAGTAAACGAAAAGAGAGGTAGTAGTGCACCCTCGTGGAGCCCCCGAGCGACCCAGGCCAAAAGTGTTCGGGTCGGGGCGCTTTTATAGGAGCAAACGTTAAGTAAACAATGGTAAGACTGAATTTTAGGGGAAGAAACGACATAACTGTTCCAAGCGCTGGTGAGAACGTTGTCGTTGTCGTCCTTCAGTCGGTAGGCGTCCGATCGGATCACCTCGGCTTTCAGTGGTCGAGATCCTTGCCCGCTACGCCCTCTTTCTTGGCCGCTGCTTCTTCGCCTTTTTCTTCCTTTGGCCCACCGGCCTGTCGCAGAAGGCGCTTGAGGAGCTTGCAGTCCTTGTAGAGGTGTTTGATAGGATAGGCGTGGTTGGTGCATGGCTCTCCATGAGCTCGTTGAAGTGGCCCAGAAGGTCCTGCTGGGGCTGCTTGCCCGTGTGATCAGCCATGGCGACCAACGCGTAGTTGGCCGGTTGGCAGCGATCTTTTATGTTCTTTTTTCCCTTCTGCGTGGAGGGGCCCTCGTCCCGATCCTGGCGCTTGGCCTTGCCTTTGCCTCGGCCTCCGTTGGAGCGTTGCGGGAGCGGCGCTCTCTAGATGCGTCGGACAAAGGCCAGTGGTCCCGGGCCATCCGGGCTGGGACTCCAGTTGCTGATGACGCTGCGAGCGGGTGGAGCGATTCGTCTAGTGCGTCCCCACTCCCCTGGTGGGGAGAGAAGCCATGATGTGATGCTCTCCGCCTGTTGAACGGCGGTGGTCTCCTGTGCCGCGCTCGGTGGCTGTAGCGGTGAGCGGATGGAGCGATTCATCTGGTACGTCCTCACTCCCCTGGTGGGGAGAGAGGTCGTGAGTCGGTGTTGCGATGCGGAGCACTCCGCCTATTGAACGGCAGCGGTCTCCACCAGTGCCCGGAGGTTCCGGTGGATCGCCTGTTCCTGGGGGTTGTTCGGCTCGGGAAGGCCGCGCAGAAGCATTGCCGCAGTAGCGATGTTCTGATTAGCCCGAGCGAACTGTGGGGGATCGTTCCCCTGTCCATGGTGTTGCGCTGGAACCGACGGACGCGACTCCGGGCGCCGTTCACCGGTTTATGTGCACGGGGCGTAGTGTGGTGCGCCGAGCGCGCTGGCGCAGTCGGCGGCTGGTTCAACCGCTGTTGTCGTAGCTCCTCCCCGTGCTCCTATGTGAGCACGGGGGTCTCCGCACGAGGGTCCGGAGGGGTGTGAGTCTGCAAGGACTCCGTTACCACCAGTGGCTATCTCGGAGCGTCCGCCATAGCGTACTCCCGGGACTGACGGTGGCTAGGCGCCACATCGCCGATGCTGGAGCCGTCACTTTCAACATCGTCATCCATGAGGTCGAGAAAACAGGTGGGAGCATAGCTCGCCATCCCCACGAATTCGGACGTGATAGGGGGCGGCGCCGGCATCCTTCAGTGCCCCCGGACGTACGCATCTGCGGGGAACGCGAGGCCATAGGGGAACCGGTCGTGTGGCGGTCGTGGTGGGGACAACGGGGTCCCTCCGGATAATCAGCGGAAGATAGAGAATAGCAAGTAAATAACAGTATGTACGTTACTCACAGCAGGGTTTGAGCAGAGAGTTTGCTCGGAATGAAGCGTAGATGCCTCGTCGTTGAAGTCGTCGTGCGTCTCGGAGCCGATGGAGGGTGCCCCTCCGACGGGCGAGGGAACGAGTGCCTCCTCGCGGAGGTGTAGTACGCCGAGCCAGTCGGCGATGAAGTCCAGGCTTCCAGAGAGAAAGGCCTGGGACGGCTCGGAGACGGGTGGAACCCATATCCCAACAGGTGGGAGTGCGGGAAGCTCCAGTGAATCGAAGCGAGTCGTATCGCCTGAGCCCGCCATGGCGAAGGTGGTAGAAAAGTGGGACATCCGATGACCAAAAAGTGTTGAACGTACAGCGTCTTCCCCATGGACGGCGCCAACTGTCGGTGCAGAAAGTGACCAACACGTAAATATTTGTAGTTTTGCCGTACGTTGTGATCGGAGGTGGCCTAGCACTCAATGACGCAGGGTTTATACTGGTTTAGGCAACGTGACATACGTCCAGTTTGAGTTGGTCGGTGACTTTATTCCTGAGCCTAGGTGCTCGAAGTTTGCAGTGGGGTTACAAACGAGAAGGAGAAAGATGGGGGTATAAGAGGTCCGGTCGGACTCTGGTTAGAGGAGCCGAGAGTGACGGGAGCCAAGCTATATGCTAAGTGTTTGAGCGTGTGCTCGTGATTTGAACCTAGAGGTTCTGTTGTTGTGGACTAGTGAACTGATCGATCCAAATGAAATCTCAATGAAACATATATCTAAAACGCCTGAAACTTACGAAGCTCGATGGCGGCACGGAGCTCGATACCTCGGAGTGGCGCGGAGGTCACCAGTGCGGGGCTCATCGGCGGCACGGACCTCGGTGGGTGAATGGAACGCGGCCGCGGCAGGAAACGCGATGGAGGCAGTGAATTCATGCCATTTTCTAGCCTTACATCATCATTGCTACCTATTAGTATCTGTAGCTCAGCTTTAGCCACTACGGGTGGGGCGCGCGAGGCGCGGGCAAGGGATCAAGGCACGTGACGCGGGTGGTGCGGGCGGCGCTCAGCGTGTGCTGGGTCCATCCGGACGGACGGACGGACGCCCTATAAGTATCATTATCGTATTTAAAAATATTTAGCTAGCACAGTATAGTATTTTTCTTTGATATAAAGAATCTCTTTTTTTTTTTTTTTTGCCGAGAAGCCCTGCCGGTCAGCCGGGCGGTGACTTCGCCACTTACACCAGATGCTAACCGTATGTTGTGTCGCCCGCTCAAGTCACGCGTTGATCTTATGTCACGTACTCATGTCATCCATCCCTCATGTCGCATTATTGGAGTGGGAGGATAAGAATAAACGGCGGTGGTGTCAGCTAGACCGGAGTACACGAGAATTAAAATTGACGTGGATCCACGCCCGTCCGGTACTCTAGAAAAAAATCGGACGCTCGGATCGGAGCATTTCCGACCAAACATCTCTCTTCAAGCATTCCTAGCTTCACACCTGGAGATATTCCTCTTAAAGTGGCTTATTCTGCTTAGAAAAACATGTGAAGAATCTTAAGTCATGGTGACTGATTGGTGTGCTAATGGGGAGCGGAATGTGGATTTCAAAAGAAGCCGTACAGAGAACGATGACCGAGTGACACGTTGGATAACCTGCAAGAGGTGACTCCAAATGATAAGAATGAGGCCTGTTTGAATTCCGGTCTAAAATTTTAGACTATTTTAGCTCATGAATGTTCTAAATAGGTGATCTAAAGTATTGTCCAAAGTTCACCTGACCTAAAAAGGACGTTAGTTCATTAGACCACACAAGTAAACTTTAGAATCTATTTAGTTTAGCCGTGAAAAAGTTGTTATAAGAGCAAGTATAATAATAGACGGTAAGCTAACTAAATGCTAAGGTGAAGGAGAGAAGAGAGAGGAAAATCAGGTTGTAAGCTTACAATCGGTTTGGACACAAAAATCAAGAAACTATATGAGAGAAACAAGTGAGCCATATATTAACAATTAAAAGCTAACTACTATATGAATTGGCTGAGAAAACACTGCAAAGAACCTTACAGCCAACCAGCCGGCTGTATTATTAGCGTTGCTCTAAGCTATGAAAAAGCTCTTATGAGCTATGTGCTGTGAAAAAAGTTGCAAGTTGTTTGGTCGAAATAAGTTCACAGCCATTTGGTGAACAATCAGTTAAAGAGTTGCACATGTCAGCAAGTACAATAGTGAAGTCAGCTTTGTATTCATTCAACAACAAGTACTTCAAGCGCTCTTTGTTATACAATATATAGTGAACTCAGCTTTGTAATCATTCAACTACAAGTACTTCAAGCGCTCTTTGTTATATAAAAGGTTGTGTATCAATCCATGAAATTTCTGTGGCTCCACCTTCAGTTGGTGCAGAGATTGGCCGGAAACCCAATAACTCTTATTCATTAGGTTTACTTTCATTTGCACCGACAGATTCATCACCTTCCAGAACGATGGCGACATCATTCAGGAACTGAAGATGAGGCTCTTGCAGCTTGGAGCATTTCCACAATTAGTGTCTTAACATCCCTGTACAACAGTAACAAACCCATGTCAGAGAACCGGTCAAGGAATATTCAGAAATAACTGCACTTTAGGCATCAATTTTAAATGGCATACAAAACATAGTGAAAGACAACCATGAAGACAAAGCATCTGAGCTTAATAGCACACAAATTAAGGGCCCCTTTGGAACACGGGATTTCACAGGAATTGTATAGGAATTTCATAGCAATCACTTCATTTTTCATAGGCTAAGAGAGTCGAGTGGGGAACCCACTTCCTGTCTTGCGCCTGCCTTGGGAAGGGGATACGCAACTTCAGAACACTTCCATCATAACCAGCCTGGGCAGCAGAAATAGGCATATTAGAATTTATAACATAGTTGGATTTTTTTTTCAATACATGAGAACAGAGCCTCATTAATTAAAGGTGCAATTGTGTAGCCAAATAAGTAAAAGATCACAGTCGAACAAATTGTATTATCCAGACCACAATAAAGGCCAGAACATTGAAATGTTGCAGTTACTGTTATGATATTGTAATGCTGACCTTGTGGTTACTGATCCTAACTGAGTAGGCAAAATATAGCATATAATTTCCAGGTATTATTTTTGTCTAGTTTATGGCACGGTTACCATTGCATTAGTCAGTATCTCAGTATGACACTAAGCAGGTACGGGGCATTTCCAGGACAAATTAGCAAAGTATAAGGCACATGTTATAAAGAGTTACCTTCACATTAAAACCAAGGCTGTCCACATCCAGCATATAAGCAAAATCCACCTGAATTGCATTTGTCATCTTTCAAGTTTCAATATATTTGAAAGCAATATTTGGTCAAAAGTGTAACAACACAAAATGGACAGACTGTAAAAGAAGTTATGCAAAGCACTGAAGAATTAGTCCTTTGCTACTATCCCATGCTCATGGGTGATCAAGAGTTTCATGACTGCATTGTTTGGTAGCACTGATAACTAAACACTATGTACAATGCTAACTACAGCAATGAACCCAGCTCTTCAATGCAGATTCCAGCAAACCGCAGAATAACATGTCTGGTTGACCGACGGATATGCATAACAAATAGACTATAAAGCAAATGGTTACATTCATTTGTAAACTAGTTTGCAATTTTGAATGAATGGCTGGCTGTTTTCCCAGGGCAAGAATTGCACAGTTGCACGCAGATCTAGCCTTTGCACCTGTGTATTGACAAGACTGCAGGCATATGCTTAAACAGAGTACAATTTTCACTTTCCGAACTACAAGCAACACAATGTGTCAAGAACAAAAGATACACATATATGATCAATAAAAAAATGCTAGTTATTTAGCTACAGAAATAACTACATTATAAAAAACAGACAGCGCCCTCACCCCTCAGGAAAAGAATATTTGGGCACAATTTTCTTCAAGATATATCAGGTTTTGCAGTAATATTATTGGAATAAATACTTTATTGTTATATTGTTGGAACAAATGCTACATAAGTAGACTTCAACATTTACTTGCCTTAACAGCAGTGGAGTGTTGCACAATGAGCTTTGTATCATCGGCATGATCCTTGTTCATATGGCTCTTTAGGGCATATACATAATGGAAGGTTAAAACATTTAGTGTAAAGCCCAATAAATATATAAGGGCAAGGAGTAAAGGGAAACAGAATCCAGACATACTGTAATAGGAGTTGAGAATTGAGATATTGGATCAACTTTTGCTTCCTTGTACTCGGCAGCACTGAATTCTGGGGATTTTGACATTAGGTTAGCATATTAGGCAAAAACACTATCACCAAATTATTTTTTGTCATGTTTACAGAATTGACTAAGATGCAAGTGCATCTCAGATATGTAGTTGCTATTTATACATTTATGCTAATAGTGGGAGGATAAGTGAGGTCCATAAGAACATGGTTACTCTAAAAATATGTGAAAGTTGCAGAACCATAAACTTCTGCATCATGATAGTGTCCCTTTTGGTGACTAGCTTTCCTCTAGGCGATTCAAAAAGGCACCTACCTCCAGAGCCAAGGAGAGCAGTTGCAACACCAGATACATAGCGCACAGCTTTAGGTTTGATGTGCAGGAAACTGAAGTCACCAAAGTCAACCTTAATTTGGCAAATAATTCATCATAATCAGTACTCCATTAAAGTTGGTCTTTGCAACAGTAATGACATTAAGAAAGTATACCCAAAAAGCATCAGGGTGCCTTCGTAGGTAAGCGCTTCTCACTGAATCTTTTTCTTCGTCAGAAACCTGCAAAAGTGGTGACATGCAAATTATGATTTTTATCCCCAACTTTAGTGGCTCCTGTTGGGTTTCACCGCTAGCCTGCACTAACTTGCTTAAGATTAAGAGGTTTTGCTGTTGTATGCACATTATGATTTAGCAATGTATCTGAAGTGTAACAAGGAAAAGGCATGATGATATATCAGTGGGAAAGCAAAGGAGGGAGGAAATTACAGGAACAGCATCGCCATATACAGTTATTACAGTATCCGTTCTGTCCTCAGGGTCTTTCGCGACAAGAAGTGAGCATTTAGGATTTCCGGAGAGATTCTGCAAAATTGGTAGCAAAGCATAAGGGCCACTGGTAAAAGAAATATGTTTACAACTGTTGCCTGTGTTTACTGAATGTAGACTAGACAATTATGCAATTCAAACAAATGTTCTAGCAGTGTTAGATTTGCATATCTATGCATATTTCTTTGTTCGCCCACACATGGGCTTCGATGTATTTTCTAGTGATGCTACCAAATTGTAAGGCATCCATGCATAATGGACATGGAAAGGTAAAAGAAATGGCTTTGTATACAGAATCATGAAAACAAAAAATTACCTTACCTTTGAATGAATTGCTAAACTACTCACTGCTAATATGGGGGAACCATCCTGATCACATGCAAAATCAACCATTGAACCAGATGGATAACCAGCATGATCCTGCAAGCATAATAATATGAAATCTCTGAATAAGATCTAGCATAATTCTGCAAGATTACATATATTGGAGTTTTGGAACTAAAATTCCCTGTTTGTTTAATCAAAAGAAAACTACGACTTTGTCTTCACTCAGTTTTTTTGGATAAATATTATTCGCTCCTCACCAAGTAGAAAAACTTATGCTTGAAGGAGGCAGTTTGTGACATGTACAAGTACAAAACTACTCCCTCTATTCCAAATTGTAAATCGTTTTAGCTTTTCTAGGTATAGCTTTTGCTATGTATCTAGACATAGTGTATATCTAGGTGCATAGCAAAATGTATGTACTTATAAAAGCCAAAACGACATAATTTGGAGCAGAGGGAGTAGAAATCATGCTCTGGTGAATATGATAAATACCTAGATTAGCACCTGGTCCAGTAAAAACTGGATGTCACCAAAGCATTCAAAACAAAACAATAACTTCCAAAGTTTCAATATACAAGATTATTCTTGATGAACAGTGGGTTAGTCTCTTCACATTATGCAATGCTCACTGACTACTACAGAACTTGTGAGGGTAGATGAAGGAAAAGACTAGCTAAGTGTTTGTCCAATAAGATATGCAAATATAACAACATTTGTTGTTGCATTTGCATAGTCTAGGTACCTGAGAATGCGTAGCAAGAACGCCTCTGACACTTCGGTCCAGAATGGTCCGTATTTCTTCAACTGGTGAAAGACGAGCAGCTTTTGCCTATAATTATGAGAATATTGAGCAAGTCAGAAAGATCCAGAGACAATGACTAAATCTACATTCCGAAGAGCTCAGGTACAAGCTTAAGCTGACTCGCTAACTTTTTTAAGCATTCAACCCTACCACAATTGTTGCAGATACACTCATTGAATCACATGACAAGTTGATTAAACATGCTGACCGGGGTCCTAAACAACTCAACGGACCCAAACCGCCCGATTCACTTCACTTGAGTTGCATAGCTACTGCCCACAGGTCACATCCCCAAAACCAACGAGAAAGGCCAAGGGCCGCACCTGGTGAACGCGGATCACCTCGAACGCGTCCGATGAACCTCCGGGGGCGTCGGCAGGCGCCGCCATCTGCAACGCAGACAAACAAACACCAGAGCACCATCAGCCAAATACATCACCGCCGCGGAGGCATTTAATCGTACATCTGCCCGCACGAAACGGTTAATAAGATTAAGGGCGGCCGGCGGCGGCAGGCGGAGAGGCGAGTCGGACCTGAGACGAGGAGGAGGACGCGAAGAATCGGCCGCGGCGGTTGCGGAGGCGAGGGTAGAGGAGGGGGGAAGCGGAGGCGGAGACGGAGACGGAGACGTGACGGTGCTGGTGGTTGTGCCGGCCATTAGTAATTTGTAGGTGGAGCGGAAGGAGTAGGCGCGACAGCGTTGACGGCGAGGGCGCCGCCCGAGCGCCCGGCGTGAGCAGGAAGGGCATCGTCATTGCGTGCACGCGTGCGCCACGGAGGGTGTCGGAGTGCCTCGCTGGCCGCTTGGTGGTCGCTCGGCACGGCAGGCCGCGACCGCGAGCTGTGCTGCCCGAGTTACACGGACGAGGGGTGGCGTTGGTCAGATGGAAGAAGGCCGTGACTGCACAAAGATATCTTCCTGGCCCAGGCCGTCAAGAGATCTGCCCATTAAGGATTTGGGGGCCGGACTTGGTTATTTCGATGTTGGGCCGCTACAGAGTCCTTAAGCGGCACCAGAGACTACGTGGGCTAGCAAGAATGTACGATGCTGGCCCAAATGGCCTGGCGGAGATTACCCGTAACCAAAAGTTCGTTATTACGCGGGCATTCCCGACTTGACCATGCCATAATATAAAAAGGAAAAAATTTCTCCATAAACTATCACCATGATCTAATTTTCACCTTCTAATAATTTCAAAATCAGACTTCTTACCCATTTTTGAATAATAAAAATCATAGAGATACCCCTGAATAAATAGATTTTTAGCGTAAAAATTTGTCTACAAATAAATCAATCTCTACGAGGAAGACTGAACGGTCCTCTCTCCATTTATTTTCCTTGAAGTCCCCTCATATTTACTGCACCCCTCCCTTCTCCTTCTTTTCTACCAAGCCAAGTTTGAGTTTTCTACGCTTGGATGGTTGTAGTAAATACTATAATTACTGTGCAACTCGAATAAGTGTGCAACTACTCGAATTAATAAAGGATAGTATGAATTTGTTTATTCAGGGACAGAGGGAGGATATTGGGATACGAAAAATCAACATAAATGTTTAAGTTGTTAAAAACAGATTTAGCAATTGAAAAAATCACAAAAAAACAACATCTAGAATATCTAGGGAAAAAATCAACATTCTAAGCCACATTTTTTAAGCTTTTAGAGGTATTTTCTAAAACAAACTTCCTGTTCAAAGTTTGTTTTTTTTAATAAAGAGAACCAGAGCCAAGCCTGCCTAAATCAAGTACAGTACTCCAACGGGAGGTTACTGGTTACGTGGCTGTCTTGCTTGCTCCTTAAATACACCCGGACACTCCTGACTTCTGCTCTTCGCTCGATCACATATTCACAGTTCACGATCACTTGGGTTGATAAATCAATCAAAACTGACTTATCAGTCGTACCAGCTAACAGCCCCGACAGCGATCACGGGTGTCCGTGGCGCGGAAAGTGTGCAGTGCATCGTCTCCGCACTCCACTACTCCAGTAGTACAAGGCCCGCGCCTCCATGACGTTTCCAGGACGACGCAATCAAAACTGCTGGAGTCCCACGCTCCGCACGCTCGCTCGCCCCGTCGGTAGGTCATGGCATCGGCGTGGCTCCCGGTCCCGGGTGTCGTGACGCGCGAGAAAAGCCGGCGACCAAACAGTGCAAGTGCCTGCCTCGCGCACGCCGCAAAAGCAATTACGACCAAAGCAAAGCCAGTCGGGACTTGTTTAGATGATGGTTGGAAAAGATTCGAGAACGTTAGATTTTCGCAGAGCCCGATAATTATTATTCAACGAAAATCTAATTACCACTTAAAAGTTTTGTCTCGGAATTTACAATCAAACCGAGTTTATTTTTTTCATATTTGCTCACGCGTGTCGTAGAAATTTAATGTCGAAAAAACTTTGAATAAACAAGGCCTCGGTCGGTCCTCCTGCCCAAGAAAAAAAAAATCGAGAACGTTACAGTCGCAGAGCCTGTACGGTACCTAACGAGGGTTTACCACCACAGGCCGGACTTTGCCTCCGAGGCTTTTCAATGCTCGTCACTTCGTCAGTCGCTCGCTCGCGCACGGCCTTCCAGACCGAGCTTCTTCAACCGCCCGTCACGTGTTGCCAGCCGCTATTTTGTGCCGGCAAACTTTTTCACGTGGAAATCGTCGCCAGCGACTTAGGCGCGTTTAGATCCGAAATAAAAAAAAGCAACGATATGAATTTTGAAAGTTCTTATAAAAAAGATTAAAAAATATTCCCGGAAGCTACCGCCGCGGATCCAGCGAAACGGGCAGACGTTTGCTCGGTGGAACGATGAGATATCTGGCCTCCGGGCACAACGGTCAAATTTTCGTGGCCTCCTCGTGCTCGTGGTTGGAGCTGGAGAGGGCGCGCGAACGCCGGATGGGACAAAGGAGAAGGGGGCAATGTGGCATGCCGATGCAGCACCGCATGCATAGCAGGCCAGCAGGACCAGCACGACGGAGTACGGAAGTATTTTACAGCCTTTCGCTGGCAGCTAGTCCGCGGGCCCGATCGCAACTGTCACGCCAGCTGTGCCCACCAGGCTGGTCTTTGCCCATGCACGCATGACCGTTTTGCTACCGGGATCCTCTGGATCCGCCTCTCCGTGCGACTCCTCGTGGGGCTCGGTGATGCCTCATCGCCTCTAGAATTTGCCAGCGAACACAAAGAGTTCGTGCAAGCGCACCATGTCCGAAAACAACGGGCGAAATTCACTCCACCACAGGATCTGAACTCGGTTAGATGCCATGAAACGTTTTGAAGCAACTCTTTTGTCAAGTTAGCCAGAATCGCGTGCTGCTGCCTACTAGTAGCACAATATGCCGTGCGCACGAAACAAAATTTCCTCGGCGCGGCTCGTGCCACTGCCGTCTCGAGGACGCGCAGTGCGGGCGGGAGCCCGGCGACGCTCTCAGACGCGCGCGTGGTCAGCAGAGCAGAGAGGATCCCAACGGCCCCCGCGGCCCCGCGCCCGCGCAACCGCAAGGCAATGCCAGGCTGCCTGACCGGCCGCGCCACCAAACGCGGCGGAACCCAACAAATGGCCAGCCAGCCAGCCCTTCCCGGTCGCCCCAGCCAGCCCCACCGGCCACCGCCTCACGCAACCTACCTGGCCGCGCCGCGTGGGTCCCCTCCGGCCTCCGTCCGCCTCTGCCCGGTGCCCGCCTCTATAAAACCCTCGTCCCTGCAACGCCGTCCTCCCCCACCTCCCGCTCGAGCCAGCAAGCCAGCCGCCTCTCCCGGACTCCGCATCTCTCTAGAGCTTCATACCCTAGTAGAGAGATCCGGCGCGGCCCAATAAACACCCACCTCACTCCATACTACGCGCAGAAGATGGCCGGCCTCAGGATGAAGTTCGTCGCCGTCGCCGCCATGGCCGCCGCGCTCGTGGCGTCCGCCGCAGCCGCCGAGGCCCCCGCACCGGCGCCGGCCTCCGACGCCGCCGCCGCCGCGCCCTCGCCGCGGCCTCCCTCGCCGCCGCCGCCTTCGGCTACCTCTTCTGCTAGATCCGCGCTGGTGGATGCGTGGTTTTCTGCTTGATATGCGTGATTCGTCTGGCGTGAGTTGAGTTCCGTGTCGTGTGCGTGTGTCTGTGTGAGGTGTCGGCAGGCGGGCGTGTGTATGTATGGAGTCGGCGGCGGCGGCGGCGGCGGTGTGCGCGTGGTGGTGGTGCGTGCGTCGACGCGCCATTGTTTGTGGCGGCGATCATGTACCTGCTGCGTTTTCTGGTTATCAATGAGATGATTTATTTGATTCTTTCCAGCCTGAGCACCAAGTGCACACAATTTCAATTTTACCGTACTATACTGTCATGCACCTGTGCCTATATATCCTTTTATCTGCGACCAACGAAGCCTATCTAGCGTGCAATCTGAGGTATCTGCAACGAACGAATTTGTCTCGGCGATTCAATTGATTGTTTGCCTTTGCAAAGAAAACGCTACCGATAGATTCTTCAATTCGTGCATAAAAGTTCAGTGGAGCCAAACAAAAAGAAAGAAATGCAGTAATACAATTGAAACAAAAAAAAAATCTCCGGTGAACAATCATCGGAAACGAACACAGGCAGAAAGCCGTCAATAAAATTTCTAGTAGAAACGAATGTTGTGGCATAGAGTCCTGCGCCATGTGGACGCTGGTTTGGTTTGGAGATGCCAGGGCCAGGGTTGTTGAGAGATCCGAAGATTGAAATGATTGAAGCATGTTGGTGTTGCCAGCCATGCGCCATGTGGTATGTGCGGCTCGCTCGTTCAAACTGGTCCACAGATGAGTTGTCTTGGGCAGAAGCAGCCCTACACGTCCCTACCGACTGAATCAACATAGCTGGCAATTGGCATGCTAGAAGCATGGTGCGCTAGAAGCTGAAAGAAAATGGTGCGCCATCGCTATCCACGCAGTAAGATACAAGGAGCTCAAAAAAAACACGGAAGTGGATTATGTCATTTCTGCATTAAATTTTCCAATGGAATTGGAAGTCCAGTAATACTTTGGACCATGTTCGCCAGAAAGGTACAGCTTCGGGCCTACTACTTACCACTGAGAGAACGTGCAAAATAGGTTCGCTGCGCTTCGGGCCTGACCCACTAACCGAGCCGTTCACCTAATAAAACTGTAAAATATAAAGAAAAAAAAGTCTACATTACCTCCCTCAACTTTCATGAAAGTCCGCTTTTCCTCTCAAACTCTAAAATCAAGCAAAACACTCCCCTCAACTTTTAAAACCATTCATCTTACCTCTCTGTCCCTGTTATAAGCGGTTTTGAAGATTGTTTTGTCTTTTTCTTTTTTATTTCTTTTGAGTAAATCTCTATCTCTATCTCTATCTCTACCCCTATAATACACCACTTTAAATTATCATACGGCCACCAAATAAATCACACCTCTACAGTCACGACCTAAACTACGTGTACCCCACGAAACGCACATAGAAAATGACCACATTAAAAACGTCGCACGCGAGATTAACTCTCACTCGTTCTCTCTGCTTACTCAACCATATCCGACGGCGCTCCTTCTTTGCATCTCCCTGACCCCTCATGGCCGTGTAGACGCATGCACGCCAGACGACATTACTCGATCCCCGTGAAGGCCGCCGAGTCTGCTAAGTCACGCATGCGGAAGAAATTTGAGATTGTGGCAACGCACGGAAGGACGGTGGAGGAGGCAAGGAGCGGGTGCAGATCAGCGAGGTCACGGTGCGAGGAAAGGACGGGGAGCCACTGGAGTGGCCCGAGCTCGAGGCCCCAACGCCGCGCTCACCGTGCGGGAGGTGTAGGTTCATGTGCTCATCTGGTCTCCGATTTTTTTTCGATGGGCAGTCGAAGTGAAGGAAGTTCCGTCTAGAGGACGAATCCATGGAGGTACGGACGGATGTGCCGACTGCCGACGTCTCTGCATACCCAGTCGCCGCCACGCCCATCTCTACCTGCTCCACTCCAACCGCCTTCCTCGTGCTCCACTTGGCTGGCCTCCGTCGTTGCCATCGTCCTCGCAGTCCCGCTTGGTGCGTGCGCTGCTGCTGGGCCTCAGCGAGGAGGAGTGATGCGTCGCGCTCCGCGTGTTGTCGTGCTCGGCGGTGACGGCGATCTAGATCTGTATCTGCACGCTGCTCGATGAATAATAAGCACAGGCTCCCCTCGCCGGCTAGACTCTTCGCTCTTATATAGGTAATTTTTTTGTTTGGTTCATTGCAGACTCGATTTGATTGTTTTGATGCACATTCTGGCAGAACGCTAATAGGATCCCGTCGGGGTAACCAAAGATTACGATTGTTCATTTCTATAAGATGAGAATTTCATTTCTTACACAGGTAAGATCCATCTGTATTTTTCACTCTTTCGCAACAAAGTGAGTTGCTGAAAGTTCTAGTTTTGTTTTGGTTAATTGATGAAACCCTAAGTGCTAATCTAGTTTATCAAACTGATTATGAGATAGGTAGCATTACTCCAAGTGATGAAGCAATGGCGAAGATCATGACAATGGTGATGGCATGGTGATGATCAAATGCTTGAACTTGAAAAGAAGAAAGAGAAAAAGAAAAGACTTAAGACAAATATATAAATAGTAGGAGCCATTTTGTTTTAGTGATCGAAATACTTAGTGAGTGTGTGTAACACCCCGGTGTTATGCCTACATTTAGGCACTGCAAATCACGCATATCATGCATCATCAAGCATCCTAATCATGCATGCATAATCTTGCATATAATAACTGAAACATTACTTCGAAACATACGAAACATGTTTGTGAAACTTAAATGATGCATACACTTATTAGAGTTGTTTTGCTCTGATTCTTGCTTGCTAGGTTAGTAGAACTTGTTTGGTTATGATTGTAAATCATATAGAATTGTTTAGCACAATTTTTGGAGCAAGGTTTGTATTTGAATTATTGCCAAATTTTTCTTTAAAAATAATTCTCAAAAATTAGGGTTTTGAGTTAAAATTTAACTTTGATTGTATAATTTAAAATCTAGATAGAATTGGACTTTGGTCATAAAAGCAAAGTTGTAGAGAATTAAATTCTAAACAACTTTCATTTTTGGTACATTTTCAAAAGAGGTCATTTTCTTGCTCAAAATAATATTTGAAAACTGTTATTTGAAAATTTATTGAAAATGGAAATTGAAAAAAAATGTTTTTCTGTTTTAGCGGGTCGCCGCCCTCTTACGGCCCCCAAATTAAGCCGCCCAATGAGCCTCCAGCGCAAAGGTTGCCGCCTCGCCAATTTCAGCCTTGCCAGCATTTCTCCGCTTCGCCCACCGGCCTTCACTGACGTACGCTGTCAGGTTCTCGACCGTTAAGAAGCGCTTCACGCAGGTGCTTCGCTATACTGGTAACGCCGCCATGTAGCATGGCACCACTACCTGGCTCCACCTCCACGCAAGACGCCTTCTTACGCCTTGCTCAGCCGCCTCCTCCCATTCCTCCTCCCGCTCTCTCCAAGAAGAGAACAAAGAAGAACACGCACGCCCGCAACAAGAACGCGCTTCGCCATCCGCCGCCGGCCGCCTCGACGGCAAGATACCCTCCCACGCCCATTCCCGATTCACGCCGCCAGCCAGCTCCGCCTTAGCTTCCTCGCTTCGTTTGCGTTCGCTACCTGCCGTCGTCGAGGTAAGAACCAAGCGCGGTCGCCTCCTTCCTCCGGTGAGAGCACTTCTGCCATACCGGGTGGCTCATCGCCGCCAGGCCACCTATCCATCATCCCAGCATGCGGCTCGGCATGGCGGCGGCACGCCGGCACCACCCGCGCACACCGGGGAGGGCTTGCCACCGGTGATCACCGCCACGTGAGCGCCTCCCCTCGCTCTCGGTCGGCCGACCGTGGCCCAAGATGGGATGGCGTGGGTTTTGCCCCGCCGAAATGGGCTAGGGTCGGGCTTGGGCCGAGCCTCTCGAGCTAGGCCGCCGCTCACCTCTTCGCTTCATTGAAAGGCAGGCCAGGTGTGGCTGTGTGGCCAGTTCATTTCACTGGCCGCCCAAGAGAGTTTGAAAGAATTGTTTTAAATTTATTCTTTATTATTTGAAAACAGAAATGGTTTGCAAAATATTTGGATACTCAAAGTTGCTCCAAATTTGTTGAAACAAATTTTTCTAGGTTCCTTATCACCAGATCTACTTGGGAAAAATTGTGCATGTCATTTTTGAGATACTTTTCTATAGGATTTTATTTAATCTTGAATATTGCTGATAACTTGAAAAATATGTAGAAAAAATGTATAGGCTTCAGAAAAATATGATTCCAAGTTTGTTAATCTTCTTATGTCATGTACTGCCTAGGAAAAATATGTTTCATGCATGTGCTGTGGGAAAATTTTGAGGTGTAGTTCAAGTACCTTTAATGGCTGATTTTTGTTATTTTTGCTAGAGCACAAATTTTGTATAACACATGCATGTAACAATTTTTGTACAGTGATTATATACTATAAAGAACATAGGAAAAATACTCAATCTGTTGTTTGACACTTTTCATAGTACAAAGTAATTTCATGCTCATTTTTATGCTATAGCTTGTCATTTTTATGTAGGATAGTTTACTTATCCAAATGCCATAAAAATTTTATGGTAGTCTGCTTAGAGTAGTACTATGCTACTGTAATTTTCTTAGATTTTTATAAGCACCAGAAATATAGGTTGCTGTTGTAGCCTTAGTTTCAAATGAAATAAAATAATCCTCTTTAATGCAAGTTAGTTAATAATGTTAGCTTTGGTGTATCTTTGAAGCATTTAATAAGATGTGTTGACTTAACCTATTAGTAGTAGAAGAGAATGCAGTAGATGACCTGTGCTTGTAGTATATTTTCTTGGATGATGTGACTACCTTGCTTTTCAACATATCCATTGCATTCATCTCCTTCGATGCACCGATTGCATAGGCACTTACACGTATTGCATCATACAGGATCGCAAACCGAGAACCCAGTCGTCATTCCCGAGGAGCCCGAGGAGCAGCTCGAGGTGCAGCCGCAGGAAGTGCTAGAAGCCGACGAGGAGGACGTTGAAGAACTTCCGGAGTGCCCCGATCACCGCCCGAGCTCC